CATGGATTGGCCGCCTCCTGCATGCCCCCCACTGGGGATCTGGCCCACAACCTGGGCATGTGCCCTGACCGGAATCGAACCGGCGACCTCTTGGTGCATGGGTTGACCCTCAACCACTGAGCCACACTGGCTAGGCTGCTGTATGTCTTTATTTATTTATTTATTTATTTATTTATTTATTTATTTATTTTTTATCCTCACCCAAGGATATTTTTCCTTTTTTTTTGGTTAGGAGAGTGTGTGTGTGGGGGCGGGGAGAGATACATCAACGTGAAAGGAACACATCGAGTGGCTGCCACCCACACAACCCAACCAGGGCTGGGGACAAACTGCAACCGAGGTACGTGCCCTTAGCAGGAACTGAACCCGGGTCTCTCTGGACCACAGGCCGATGCTCTAACCACTGAGCCAAACCGGCCAAGGCTGCTGTATGACTTTAAATTGAGGCCAAGGCAGACATCTGATGGTTCCTCTGGGTCCCTCCATATGCTCCTTGATGTCCCTGGCTGCCTCTTAGACTCAAGATGTTCCTAGCTACCAGCACTTGGCCATCCTGCATGCTCCCTGCCGCCAACTGTCCGACTGCCATCTACTGTCTCCAGCTCAGTTCCTCCAGGGCCCTGGCCCACAAGTCCTTCACTTATCTCCAACCCACCATCCTACCCGCTTCTTCCATCTCTTACTCTCCATTGCTTCTTCTTCCCAGTCTTCCTTAAAAGCTTCTGTGGGCCCTGTTCCTCTCACTTCACACAAGTTTTCTGCCCTTGGTCTTTCCGGTTCCTACCCCTCTCCTCTACCACTCCAGCTGGGCTTGCCCTCCCTCCACAGAACAGCCCCGGTCAAGGTCCTCAGCAGCCCACACGTTGGTCTGTTCTCCACCCTCACCTCCTGGAGCACCTGATGTTGGCCTGGCTTCCGGTGTGCGTTCTCCCGGGGCTCCTCCCACTCCTGGCTGCTCCTGCTTGGCTCCTTGATGGCTCTGCCTCGTCTCTCCCACCCCCTAAAAGGGATGTTCCAGGGCTCAGTTTGGACTGCTGCCCTCCTCTGTCCAAACTCACCTCGCCCATCTCATCCAGGCTCCTGGTGTTAAGTCCCATCCACTCCCTCTGCCTCCCAGATCCAAAGCTCCAGCACTGGCTACTCTACTGAACTCGGGTCACACCCCAGCAGTCACCTGGGCATCTCTGCTTTGACATCCAGTCAGTGTGTTGAACATTTCATCAGCAAAGCTGATCTTCCTTTCAAGCCTGCTCCTCCCCCAGCCTCCCTCAGCGGATGCAGTGGCAGCTCAGTCCCTAGATGGGCTTGGAGTCACCCTTGACTTGTCTGTCTTTCCCAAACAATCAGGGAACCCTGCTGCCTCTAGCTTCAGGACAAGCCCAGTGTCCCTCCCCGACCATGCTGCCACCTGGGCGGAGCCATTCAACATGTCTGTGAGAACTACTGCAGTAGCCCATGTCAGGGTCACCCCTGGCTCCCCAGCCCCCACCCAGAGGCTGGTCTCAGTGCAGCAGCCAGAACAATCCATCTGAAAGTTAGAGTTGCTACCGAGTCAGTTCCTGCCTCTCCTGTGTTGACGACCCTGCAGGGCTCTTATCTTTCCCAGAGAAAATCCAAAGTCCTTACAGTGACTACAAGGCCCCACACGTCTGCCCCCCTCATTAGCCTCCATTTGCCCCTTCTCTCACCTCCCGCCTCTCCTAACATCAGCCACAATGGCTTCCTGGCTGCTGCTCTCACATGCCAGGCAGTCGGCCTCAGGGCTTTGCACTGGCTGATCCCTCTGGCCCGCGGACTTCCTTGCAGACATCCACATGACTTCCTCCCTCTCCGAGCCTCTGATCAAATGTCAATTTCTCAGTGAGACCCACCCTGACCCACCTCCAGACCCCCTGTTTCCATTGCCCTTACCTTGCCACCTTTACTCCTTCTAGTGCTACTATTCTCTTGCTCCTCCTCCTCCTCCTCCTCTTTTTTTTTTTGGATGCAGGAACAGAATTTTATTCCACTAAGTATATTTTAACAAATGATACAACTTACTGGTTCTGTTTCATGTTTCTGGTCTGAATCCAATCCCCCACCCAGAATGTAAGTTCAAGGAAGGAGGGTCCCCGCCTCGTTCGCCGCTGTGTGCACAGGTGCCGGCAGGGTGCCTGGCACAGAGAGACTCAGTCAAAACGTGTTGGATGAATGAGTGAAGCTCTCTCCAGCTGGTAAGCAAATGTGTACCTGTGCACAGGTGAGTCGGGAGGGGCAGGGAAAACAAGGCTCAGGCTTTGGTGCCTTTTCCTGGTCTATATTCACCACTTTCCTGGACAAGCAATCAAGAAAGGCAGTGGAAAGAGATATGCAGGGCCTTTGGGCTTTCCGGCTGTTCCATCCTCTCAATATTCCAAGCAGAACAATTTTTTTTTATCCTCACCCGAGGACACTTTTCCATTTTTTGTTCAGATAGAGTGGGAGAGAGAGAGAGGAAGAGAGAAAGAGAGAGAGAGACATCGACGTGAAAGGGACACATCGAGTGGCTGCCACCCACACAACCCAACCAGGGCCGGGGTCAAACTGCAACCGAGGTACGTGCCCTTAGCGGGAACCAAACCCGAGTCTCTGGACCGCAGGCCGACGCTCTAACCGCTGAGCCAAACCGGCCAGGGCGCAGAACAAATTTTTTGTTTTTTTTCTTCCAGAGAAATTTTTTAAAAGCAAAAAATAAGAAAAAAGACCTGGGACATTCTTCGATACATACAAAGATGCTTCACGATGACAAGGGCCTGCAGACCTGTCCTCCTGGGTCCCTAGACTGACCACTAGGGACGAAGGTTACTCGTGTCCAAGCAGTCGTGTGGACACTTGGTTTTCAGATATAGTGTACAGTAGTGGCCACGTTGCCTGCTGCCTCCCCCGGGCACCTGCTGCCCACTGGTCAGGCTGGAGGAGACCCGGTGGGCAAGCAGAGATGGGTGGTTCCCCAGGGGCAGCTGTGTGTGGCAGGGGCGGCAGGGAGCTACTGTCAGCTCGTCCCCCTGCTCTGAGAGGCCTGCTGCTGGGACCTGCAGCCTTCTCTGGAGGGCGGGCGGGCAGGGGAGCCCTCAGGTCTGTCCGCAGGAGGGACTTTGTTCTCTATCGCTCCGCACCCCCCAGGCCCGGGCTCTAAGGCAGGGCTGTAGCCTCATCTGCCCGGGAAGAAGCCAGGGACCCTCAGAGCGCAACCCTTCACACCGGGGCACTCTGGGCTGCAGGCACCTCCAGGCCAGTGTCCAGCTCTTTTCTGGGGCCACAGGGCTCCTGGGTGAGTCCCCAGACTGAAGTCAGGCGCCCGGGGCTGATGGGAATCAGACTCAGGAAGCCCCCCTCTGACTGGCTGGCACTGCTGTGGGTCTAGCAGCCACCAGCTTGAGGAAGTTCTTTCTTCAGGGGTTTCCCATGCTGGCAGCCGCCTTGCCAGTTCAAACTGGATTTTTCCTGCTGCCCTTTCCTCGGCGGCCTAGCTGGGCACAGGGTCTCTCCTAATGAGGGTTTGGTGCCAAGACCTGGGCAGCTCCATCCCGCTGGGTCCCAGCTGGTTCAGGCCTGCCCCAGGCAATGGGCAGCTTCCCAGCTCCACCCAGGGCCAGGGCACCTGGGGCTGCCCTGCGTCCCTGCAGCCCCTGACCCACCTTGGGCTCCCCCACTCAAAACTCAGGTCTCACATACAGGGACTCACTAACCCGCATTTGTTCGCTGTGGGTTTTACTATTAATAAAAAGACCAGCCTGACAGGACCCAGGGTCCCTGGACTTTTGTTTCCAGGCTCAGGACATTGACAGGGGGTTGACAAGGCAGCCTGGGGAGGGCAGGGGGCCCTCCTGCAGGGCTTCCAAGGCTGCCCCCCGCTCAGACCCTCTCTGAGGCTGCTGGGGATGCACCTCACGTTGCCTCCTTCCGGAGGCCTCTCTCTGTCCCATTTCCTGGGGCCTCATTAATTCCTCCCCACCTCACCCCGTGAGAAAGCAGGTCTGTGCTGAATCTGGCCCAAGCCCAGAGCAGGGTCTGAGCACGCCACTGGTTGGTTGGGGAGGCAGGGGGCAGAGTGGGTAGGGGCCATGCCCTGTCCCCACCTTCATCTCGGGGAAAGAGGCAGGGGCCCTCTATCACCATCATGTCCCAGTTCCCTCTCCACCTTCCAGGAACCCAGGGGCCATGGAGATCACAACATAAAACACGGTTGGTCTTATGTAGAATATTTATAAAAGGGGACTGCCAGGCAGCCCCTCCACCCTGCCCCAGGCTGGCCGCTGGGGTCTCCGCTCCAGGGCAGAGACACTCTGGGTCCCAGACTCTCGCTTCTCCCAGCAGTGGGGTGTGAGCTACAGCACAGGCTCAGGGCGGGGGGAGGCCCAGCCTCCCCAGGACTGGTGAAGGTGCATGGCAGGGGTCCCTTGTCCCTCAAAAGAACCTGCGGGCTCCAGGAATAAGGTGGAGGTCTGCTCCTGGTGGAGGGGATTGGAGAAGGGACAAGATTGTCCAAGGACTGGAGCCCAAGAGCCTGGGAGGGGCCTCGGGGACAGAAGGCAGGAAGGCAAGGGGCCGAAGGAGAGGGGCCTCAGGGTGCAGACGGGCTCAGCAGCAAGGTGGGGGGATGGCTGCAAGCCCGGGCTCCAGCTCTGAGTGTCCCCGCGGGCTGCGTGAGCCCTGTGTGTGCCTCTGTGCAAGCAGGAAAAGGGGCTTGGGTGAGACCTGAGGCAATAGGAGGGGAGCAGGGGTGCAGCCCACCCTGCTCCCAGCTCAGGAAGGCCCTGCAGCCAGAGCCCAGCAGCCCAGCCGGGTAGTGGCCCAAGGGCCTTGGTCCTGGCTCCTTAAAAAAAAAAAACAACTTCCACAGAGAGGACGTAGGGCAGGGCCAAACACTATCGTGTTAACCAGGTCTTTCTCCTACCCCTGACTGGCCACTGGGTGTGAGTAGGGGCTGAAGAGTCTGGGCAGGGGCAGTAGGATGAGCAAACAGAACGGAGGGGGTTGTCCTAGTGGTTTCCTCCATGCCGGCTGGTCCCCGAGACCCAGTCAATGATGATGAAGCTCAAGCTCATGGTCATCAGCAAGAAGCCAAGCACAGCGAAACAAAGGGCCTGTGGGGTCAGAAGTCAGGGTCAAGACTGCGGCCAGAGCAGTCCCCTCAGCTTCATACCCATCCACAGACCTCCAGGCCCCTCGCACCAGGACTTTGGGGGTGGACTTCGCAGGCTCCTTCTCCGTGGGCATGATGCGGAAGTAGAAGACGGCAGGGAAGATGAAGATGAGGCACGGGGCGGATGTAGCACCTGTAAAACACAAGCCATACCCACCAAGCGCTCGTGGCCACCTGTTGGCTAAGCTTTGGGGTTGGACACAATGAGATCAAACGTTCTTTGTTGGAGGAGACTTCACTTGAAAGCTCGGTGGGATTCAAGAGAGCACACCAGCCCCTCGCCTGTTGTCCACGCACTGGCGTGAAAGGCTAGTGCTGCTGGTGTCGGAAGAATCTGCCAGGGAAGGAAGCTAGCAAAGAGGAAAGACGAGCGACGCGATAAAGACAGAGACTGGAGGATCTTGGGCTCCTGGATATAGCTATTCCTGAAGGCTTTTCTATTATTTGAGTCAATACATTCCTTTCTGCTCAATTCATTAAAAATTTAAAAATTATATTTTTTCTTTATTTACTTTAGAGAGAGTGGGAAGGAGAGAAAGAGAGAGAGAGAGATAGAAACATCGATGAGAGAACATTGATTGGCCTGCTCCTGCACGCCCCCCAACTGGGGATTGGGCCCACAACCTGGGCATGTGCCTTGACCGGGAATTGAACCAGCGACCTCTTGGTGCACGGGTCGATGCTCAACCAGTGAGCTACACCAACCGGGCTCTTCTCAATCCATTTTGAGTTGGATTTTGGATATATACAAGCAAGAGTCCTGTCTATGACATCTATGATACTCAGCTCAGGCCTGTGTGTCCCTGCAGAGTTGGGGTAGGGAGTCAGTCTCCTGAGCTGGGATACCCAAAAGAGGTCTCAGAATCGCTGATCTTCTAGCTCAGAGCTCCAACTTGTTGGGACAGTAGGCAGAGCGCCTACCCTGTAGTACCATGGTCCTGGGGCTGAATCAAGGCTCCCCACTTACCAGCTGTATGGCTCTGCTCCCCCCTTTATCACTCTGAACTTCAGTTTCCTCGTCTGCGAGAGGAGGAGCCTCCGTGGAGGCCCTGGCTCTGCCACATGCCCCAGTCAGGGGAACTGACTCAATGGTGCTGAGCCCTCAAAAGGAGTGAGAATAGCCCATCCGGTGTGGCTCAACAGTTAAGTGTCAACCCATGCACCCAGAGGTCACTGGTTCGATTCCCGGTCAGGGCACATGCCCAGGTTGTGGGCCTGATCCCCAGTGGGGGGCGTGCAGGAGGCGGCCAGTTGATGTTCTCTCTCATCGATGATTCTATCTCTCTCTCCCTCTCCCTTCCTCTCTCTCTGAAAATCAATAAAAAGCCCTGGCTGGTTTTGCTCAGCGGTTAGAGTGTCGGCCTGCGGTCCAGAGAGACCCGGGTTCGGTTCCTGCTAAGGGCATGTACCTCGGTTGCAGTTTGTCCCTGGCCCTGGTTGGGTCGTGCGGGTGACAGCCACTCGATGTATCCCTTTCATGTCTATGTTTCTCTCTCTCTTCCTCTCTCTCCCTCCCACTCTATGGGAGTCCTCGAAAAAATGTCCTCTGGTGAGGATAAAAAAAGAAAAAAAATCAATAAAGAAAAAAAAGGCGTTTAGTACAAAATCGCAAAATCTCAGGTAGGAGGCCATGCTGTGCACGTGACCAGCAGCCATCACTTAAATGTAGGGTGTGAGCTCTGGAATCTGCCAGGATTTGCAGCAGAGACATTCTCTGGGGCAGTACTCTGCTGGCCAGACCCTCACCGATGATCCCGAAGATGCCCAGGATGTTGGGGGCGAAGATGACCAGCAGGTTGATACAGGTGAGCAGGCCAGTGGCAATGAGCGCGTGCCGCAGCCAGCTGAACTCCTGGTTCTGAAACAGCATCTGCTGGATGGCTCGGCGCACCTAGGGTCGGGGTCATCAACCTGTCAGCCCCATCAGTCCCGTCCCCATTGGTCTAGCCACCCAGTCACCCCGCCCCCCGCGCACGGGCTCACCGGAAACAGAACGATGGGCACCGTGAGGGTGACTGCAGTGAGCACGGCCACGCGCACACACAGGATCAGCACGTCAAAGGTGTCCACCTTGCTGTAGGTGTGCAGCAGCTCCGACTCCACCCCGTCTGTGGCAGGCAGAGAGGGTGGTCAGCAGGCGGCCCAGGCGGGGTTGGGCTCTGGGCCGGGATCCACCCTGGCACTGTGGGGAGTTGTCCAGCGCTTCGCCCCCAGCCTGGCCCCTGCGTCCGCCCGAAGTCCAGCCATACCGTAGAAGGTGAGGTAGCCGAAGAGGGCAGCCAGGAAGTACATGACGTACATGACAGCGATGGACAGGTTGGAGATACGTTGCATCTTCCTCTTGGAGGGACTGCGGGGCAGGGGAGGGACTTGGTGCCAAGCTGGCCACACTGGGAGATCCCTGCGTGCCCTGGGGTCTTTCTGGCATCACACCCTCACCATGTGCAGCAAGTCGTCACCCACAGCAGCCATGAGATCTTTGACGAAATGACTTGGCTCCTGTCACTCCCCCCTTGTAGGACCACATCCATTCTCCCTGTTCCCCAACCAGCTCGGGCAGCCCCGCCCCCTCTCCCAGCTAAGGAACCTACTCCTTGAGCTCTGTATAGATGGGCAGAACCTCGGGGTGGCAGACAAAGGCGAAGGCCATGATGGGGATGGTGTATGCTGTCTGGAGGAACATGGAGACTGTGTCAGGGCAGCCCCCCCTCTCCCCGGGCCCCTGCCCCACCCCTGGGCCTGTTAGAACCTGTATGTTGAGTGTGAAGTAGTTTGGGGTGCAGAAGGCTGGGACGACACTGTCCCCAAGGAGCGTTGTCTCCTCCTTGACAACCTCCACAAGGCTAAAGTTGCTTGTGATGTTGGCGAGGTTGGAGGGCAGTGGGCAGGGCACCTGGAACTTTTTGTAGATGACCTGGCAGGGGTGGGTGTGAGAGTATCAGGCCTGGGGAGTCGCTCTGAAGTGGCATCTAGGTCAGGGCCGGAGGAGCTGCCCTCTGACAGAGAGCCCCTAAGAGACCTGCCTCCTCCCCCTAACGGAGGACCCCCTAGGAGACCGGCCCCCTCCCTTGCCCAGCGGAGGGTAACTCACTGCAACTAGGAAGAACACCATGCAGCTGAGAGAGAAGCCGCTGGAGTAGCCCAGGTAGCCTGCAAAGTTGGGGTGGGGGGCTGTGAGGCTGGGGATCCCCTCGGGTACATCCTTCCAACATCCCCTTTCAAGGCCCTGGCCCTGTCACACTCACCAAGCTGCCGCATCAATGCCAGGGGCAGAATGATGGTGACAGAGACCAGAATCACCAGGTAGTTCCCATTCATGTACCAGTCCCTGCAGGACGGGAGTGGGGAGCCGGGATCAGAGCCTACGCAGCCCCAGTCAGGGTCACCAGTGGTGCCACTGAGTAACCTCCACAGAATACTGGTCCACAGCTCTGAGCCTCCCTGCCCCCATCTGCCAAGTGGGCAGACCCTCAGCACTCCCTGGGTGAGGTGAGGGCTAAGGCACTCGGCTACTTCGGGGTAACCATTCCGATCAGCCTCTGCTGTTAATTTTCTCGGGACACAGAGGTCTGGGTCCAGCCTCCCCAAGGCCCCCAGGGAGGGGGTTTCTGGCGGTTTCCCGCCTCCCAGAGCTGCCCTCACCCTCTGCTTGCCCGGCTGTTGCCAAGGGCAGGGCCTGCTGTCTTCTCTGCCCCACTCACAAACGTGGTTGATGCCATCAGTGCTGGCTAAACTGGTGATGGGCAACTGGGACACCACGGGCTTAATTTCTTGGTGGGGCGGGGCTAGCGCTCAGGCCACAGTCAGGAATAGCAGGCGCTTAGAGCTAAGCCCTCGGCCCTCGGATCCTCCCTGCTCACCAGCTGGGCAGGGCCAGGCGGACTGCTTCCTCCCCGGCCCACATGGCTCTCCTGGGGGTTCTCCTAGGTGCTTCATGAGCCAGGGCGGACTGAGGATTAGCCCTGCTGGCAGCTCTCTGCCCCTCCCACTAGCCCAACCTGGGCTCCCAGGGCTGGGGGTGGACATGGACTGTAGACCAGGGCCTCCCACCCTCACCCAGCCCCGCCCCACCCTGGGGCTCACGAAGTTGGCTCCTCCAGGTTCAGGAAGGTCTGTATGACAAGGGGCAGCTCGGACTTGACGATGTACAGGTAGCTGGACATGGCTGTGGGGAGAGGGGTGGGCGGGCACGGTGGAACCAGCCATCCTTCCGCCCGCCCGCCCCCCGCCGTCTGCCTGTGTCTGCCCACCAGCCGCACCTCCGATGTTCTGCAGCGTGATGGCCAGGGCCGCGGCCAGCTTTCCCGGGGTCCCGAAGGCACGGTAGCCCAGCTGCTCATAGGCACGAATTCCTGTGGGCACAGGCTGTCAGGACCCAGAGTGCTCCCCCAGTCTGCCCCTCCCTTGCTACGGGCTGGTCTGAGGCTCACCCACGACCCCTGAGGACTTGAGTAGCAGGTGGATGGAGTAGCTGGAGAGCAGGGCAACAGCTGTCAACAGGAACCTGCGGGGAGGATGCGCAAGAAAAGGCCCCTGGGCTCCCCTGGCTGGCGGGAGGCGATGCGCTCTGGGCGGCCTGGGTGTGCAGGGTCTGTGACCAGGGGTCTGGACCCCCAACAGGTGCATGCTCAGCAGGCCCCAGAGGTGAACACCAGCCAGTTTGACCCAGAAGGACCATGACCCAGAAGAGAACCTGAAAGCCCACCTCTCCTTGAGTTCTTGGAAGAAACATGTTTTCCGCTTGGCTCTGGGGCACAGGCCTGGCCATGGGGGTTCGTCCACCACGTGTTAATATAGAAGGACAGACAGGCCTGTTAGGCTGGCCCCGTGCCGTCATCTCAGTGGGTTGACTGGGAAGTGAGGTATATTTGGCTGGCTGGGCTGGTTAGCCATGGTTTGGGCTGGGTGTCAGTGCCCACACACTGCCACCCGGGCCTTGGGACAAGAAAGGGATGGGTCCCGGTAGGTCATGGGCGGGGCTTGTCTGGGACGCCTGTCTGTGGAAGAGTTGCAGTCAGCACTCACAGGAAAAGGATGATGCCCGTGTTGGCCATGGCATAGGCCAGCCCCAGGATGCCACTACCCATGATGGCGTTGCTGAGGTTGAACACCGACATCCCGAATGACGTCTTCCCCTCAAACTGCAGGCACAGCACGGACGGGGGGAGGCATCAGGCAAGGAAGGCATTTCCACGTTCCCTCGCTGCCCCTCAGCCTCCCGTCACTGCCCTAGAACACCTCATTACTTCACCCCTGCCCCCACCGGTGCCCGAGCCCCCTCCGCTGCCCGGCTCACGTCAGTGAAGTGTGGCTCCTTGCTGGGCCTTTTCTGTAGGAAGCCCTCGCCCTCAACACAGCTTCGTCGGGGGCCCTCGACCCTGCAGGCACAGGCCAGGGGAGGTAGCTCAGCTGCAGCCCCTGGTGTGCACCCTGCCCTGCCCTGAGCCATGACCGGTTCCCTCCTTCGCTCACCTCTCATTTCCTGCCATGGGGGTGCTGACTGGGCGGAGCCCTTCCGAGTGTTTGCCGTTGGGTACCAGCTCCACCATCTCCATCTGCAGAGGTGCCTCCATGGCTCAAGGACCACCACAGGAACCTGGCTCTCACACCGACACACTCGGGAGTCTGCAGAGTGGATGGACCCTCAGATGATCCCCACTTGTTGGGCCCATGGCCTAGCCTCCCACAGTAAGTCTCAGCCACAGCATGCCTCTCAGGGTCATGCAGGACATACATGCCCAGGTCGTCTGCCTGTGGCCATCCTGGGACCTGCCTGTGGGGTCCTGAGGTCTCCAGGACACCCCGAGGGGCACCTCAGCCAGTACATAGCAGTACACCCCCCCACACACACACCAGCCCAGGCAAGCCCTAAGGCCTCAGTTTCCCCAGCTGTGAAGTGAGGGTCAGTTGGATGACCTAAGTTCAGAGCCCAGAGGCACCAGGACCCTGGGATGCTGTCCCAGGCCTCCAGGTCCCACTCTGGGGGTGGGCCCCGGAATGACCCCTGAGGTTGATACTGGGAGATGGCTCCCTGTGCCGGCTCTGTGTGCCAGGGGCCTCCTCGCCAACCTAGAACGGCTCAGCCCGACGGCTGGAGGCCTCGAGAAAGGGTGAGGGTTGTGGGCTCCGTTCCCAGCCGCCCGGCGGGCACTGCTGGCAGGCAGAACAAAGGACCCTCTGTGGGCTCAGCGCTGGCGCTGGGAACGGCAGGCGCAGAGCTGCCCCCTCGGAGCCAGGAGGCCTGAGCAGCGCTGGGTGGCTGGACACCTGGGCCCTGCCCGCCTGGCTGCAAAGGGCCCTCGGGGGGCCTTCCAGGAAACGGGTGCCCCAGGCCCCGTTCTCTGGGCCACACAGGCCTTACCCTCCACACTGCCCTGGCCTGAGGGCCATGTTTTCCTTCAAGCCTCTCCTCTGCTAGGGAGCCCCTCACCCCGAGGTGCCCATCTCCAGGAGCCTTTGCGCAGACCCCCCTTTGCTCAGAGCCCAGGCCAGGAGCTCAGGGCCTTGGCCAGCTGTAGAGGGGCCTGGAGCACCGGATGAGCCCCTGTCCTGTCCTCGGGGCGTGGCTCTGCTGGTCTCACAGACCAGCCCCCTGTCCTCCATCCCCCAGCCTTTCTCGCTGTCCGGACAACTCGCTGGCCTTCTCGCGTCACTGTGGGTGGGAGCCACCACCCTCTGAGCAGCAGGCACCTGGGCCCAGTGCCCTCAGGATATATAAGGACAGTCTGAAGGCCAGTCAAGCCAGCATGAGAGCTGAGGCCAGAGCAGCGACCAGGGAGTGGGCAGCACTGCTGAGCAGGTCAGCCAGACCCAGTCTTGACACCAGGGCACCTCCGCTACTTGGGGACCCGAATCCTGCACTGCGTCCTCTCCCAACTCCAGGTCCTGATGGTCTCGGGTCTGCTCTTGAACCTGGAGCACCAGGGATCTCAAACTTCGCACTAGTCTATGGGCAGGTAGGGGAGGCTAGGCTCAGGCCTCGGGCCTCGGGCCCAGTGTCCTGGAGGCAGCAGCCACACAGGACTGACCCAAGGACCACCTCCCTTTGCTCCAGACCAGAGTTGAAATCTCAGGTATGTTGGTCCTGGGGACCCCACACCTGGCACCCTTGGACCCCCTCAACCTGCCTCTCCTTCCTCTGAGGCTGGAGTCTGAACCCTTCTCTCCTCCAGCCCTGCCCACTCAGGATCATGACATGTGAATATCTCATGCCCTCTTCCCTGGACCGGAGCCTGTCTTCATGCCTCAAGCCCCACCGTCAGCACCTCTCCAAGGATCCCAGCTGGGTGTGCAGGTGCCAGCACCTGGTCCCCTGAGTCACTCCCGAGTGTCCCTTGGCCCTCAGCTGGGGTTGCCCTTGCCGGGCCGCCCACCCTGGGCGGGCAGGGAAAGGCCCTCGGAGCGTGCTGGGTCGGCAGCCTAGACAAAGCACACTTCTCTGCCTCAATACCCATCCCTAGCAGCCAGGCACTGCCCCCAGGGAGACCACAGCCCCTGGCATGGTCACGGCTCCGGGTTCCACGTCCTCAGCAGGACCTGAGCTTAGACTGTCAGGGCCTATTACTCACAACCAGTCACTGCTGGTTCTGGGGCCGGTGTGGGATCCCAGAGAGGACATGGATACCCTTCCTCAACTGGCTTTCAGTCTGGGAGTGACCAAACCCTCGAACAGCCCCCGCCATAGCTCTCGCAGCAGAGTGTGAGCCACATAGTGCTGGGCTCAAATAGGGGAGAGTGAGGCATCAAGGAAGGCTTCCTGGAGGAAGAGGTGATAGAGTCAGTTCTAATTCCAGTGGGAGTCCCCAAGGTGTAGAAATAGGCCAGAGTGATTCAAGCAGAACACAGCATGGCAAAGGCCCAGGCTGTGGCATGAGGCCGGCTGTGAGGGTGAACTGAAGGTTCCAGGACCAGAGACAAGCCTGACAAAGCCTTGAAGGAAGGTCAAGGAGTCTGCACGTCACTCTAGTGCAGGACCGGCACGTGGCCCCCTAGCCGTTCCCTGAGGCCAGAGCCCATTTTTGACACTGCCATCCTTCACCTGGGGCCTGCCACCTCCCAGGCCTCTTTCTGTCAGGGAGTCAGGGTGGACTCAGGGGATCACCCTTCCCTAAAGACAGCTGCCAGCAGACCTGATCCACTGTGGGGAAAGCCCAGAGTGGACACTAAATCCCAGGCTGACCTGCCCTGCGTCACTGGTGACCACGGGCAGAGTAATCCCCACTCAGGACCTAGTGTCTGCCTGTCTTCCAGGGTCACGTGAGGTGTGTCCAGAGCAGGGGACAGAGTGAGGAGCCTCCCTGAGGCCTCTGCCCTGGAGCAGGCCATGGGCTCTCAGAGTCAAGCCCTGGAGTGGAGAGATCACTGTGACCTTGGGTGGGTCACCAGAATGGCATCTGTCATGGGTGCAGCATGGGCTCGGGGAGTAAATCGATGGCCCAGGCCACTGCCCTGAGGCCTGTTTGTTCTGCCGGGAGATAAGGGCCCGGAGGGAGCAGGGGCCACGGGGACAGAGCAGCAGGTAACACCCGCCCACGCGCATCCCAGGGTGCAAATTCGTCAGGCGCACCTTGGCAGGTGTTGCGTTTGGCTAATTAAAGATTTCAAGGCCAGGAATCCAGGCCACCATGGGGCTACCGCGTGTGTCAGCTGCTTGGGAAGCACACCTCTCTGCTTCCCTCCCCAGTGCTCGGGGGCGGAGGTGGGTCTGTAGTGCTGAGCGGCTGCAGGGAAACATCCGCACTGTCCTTCCCTCCGTCCAGTGGCCACGAGCCTGGGTGGAGGCAGAGACCCCACAGAGCTTGCGGCCATGGCCCTCAGGCTTCTTGTGCCTGGGCTACCCTAACCTCAGCTCAGATCTCAGCGGAGAGGCTGCTGGCCTGGCTTGAGAGTCCACTGTGGTGATCCCTGGGGTCTCGGGGATGAGGGTGGCCCCCAGTTCCAGCTCTCCCATCTTTACCACTCCCCTCCTTGGCTGAGACCCGGTGCCCTTTCCAGCCTGGCACCCCTCTGCCCCCCTGCTTCTCCAGACTCCAGAGGGAATACAACCCTCCTAAGACAAACTACCAGTCAATAGGGAAACTGAATTCAGCAGACATGTCTGAATTGTATGTGTTCAAGGCACAGCCACAAGGATTGGAAACTGATCGCTGAGGTTAGGCGTCCAGTAATAGGGCATATGGGAGGGTGTTCAGAACAGAGGAAGGTCTCAGAACCCACCCCTGCCCCTCCCCCAGAACTACAACAAACTGTGACCTCAGTAAACCTTGTTCTCCATCTACTACTCCCTCATTGCCAGCAACACTGGGTGAGTGGCCGTGTGGCCAACACCTGGCTGGTGGCATGCAGGAGGGGCACATCCAGGGAGAGGCAGATGACCCAGAACATTGCTGTATTGGCCACACCAACCCCTCATCCCCTGGGCTTCTGTGTCTGGGCATCCGGAAGGTGGGGCCGGAAGGTGGACTTTCCTGTGACAGGGTGTGTTTGTTAGACACCCAACAGATGCTTAGAGTTGGACCCAGCCCCAGGCACCTAGGCCTCCTCTCTCACCCAGCCCTGGACCCTCCTTGCTCAGGCTGACCCTAGGAGAGGCTGCAGCTGGAACCTCTTGGCTCAAGATTGGAACAGAGCCAGCAGCAGCCCCCTCCCCCCCACTGCCAGCCTGCTGAGAGGGACGTGCAGCCTGAGGCCCAGCTGAGACAAAGGACAGGACATCACATGCCTGTGGCCCCCCAGGAGCAGGGAAGACCCCGAGCCAGCCAGCCCATCCTCCTCCCTGCTGACCCGGAATCCCCTGGAGGCGGCCAAATATTTGGACAGCCGGACTTCTGGCCCCAGAGAAAGCTGGAGCAGGGGCCTGGGGCAGCTCAGGACTCATTGGAGACCCCAATGGGGGGCTAAAGGCAAGGTCAGCTTGGAGGAGAGGCTCTATCCAACATCAAGAAGAAGCAGAGAGAGACAAGGGAGGGAAGAGAGAGACAGGGAGAGAAAATACACATGACATGTGTCCATCCATACTGACTCAGACAGAGGCACAAGGATCCGAGAAACACGGATGGATTGAGAGGGGCACAGAGAAAAGTACACAGAGACAGGTCGAAAGACACTCAGACAGGGAGAGAGACAAACAACCAGAGTTGGCCACTCACTCAGAGACAGCCAGATGGAGAAAGAGACAGACGAGACAGCAAGAGACAGCAAGACACAACAAGGGTTAGCCAATGAAAGACAGGGAGAGCCCAGAAGGTGCAGGAAGAGGAGAGGAAGCCAGAGGCCCAGGGGAGGGGGCAGCAGACCCAGTGGACACTGCAGAGATGACCAGGCAGAACCCTGGAGGACCCCACGAAAAGGCTGCCACAGCATTTTCATCTTCCCGCAAGGGCAGGTTATGCCCCCATTAGCCAGGTGCAATGACATCCAGATGGTGGGGCTAAGCCTACTAGGGCCACAGGGCCAGGTCCCGCTGGAAAGAACCCCCTAGTCCAGCACCTGTGGCTTGTCTACCCACACAATGGGAAAGATATATGGAGACGACGGGCGGTTGGAGTGACCCCATCCTCAAGGGCCACGCGCGTGTGTTGACGTGCCAGCTGAGAGGCTGTGTACAGGACGTGGCCCGCAGA